GCTCCGCGCCGGGCGCTGCCGCTCACGGCCGCTCTCCCCGGCGCGCAGGTGAGCCTGGACTCGCGCGTGCGGGAGGTCATCAACCGCAAGATGCAGGAGCCGTCCTCGCACACGTTCGACGACGCGCAGCTGCAGATCTACACGCTCATGCACAGGGACTCGTACCCCCGCTTCCTCAACTCGGCCATCTACAAGGCGCTGCTGCAGGGCGCCTCGCGCTCCTCCTCCGAGTCCTAGGCCCCGCCGCGACCCCCTTTTTAGCTTTTGACCCAGGAACTGGCTCAAGGTGCCGCGTCCGGACAGGGGGGACAGTTTGGGACACGTCGGGGGGCCACAGGCCGCCCCCCAGGGGCTCTAGGAGGCCACTTGATCCCCCCCGCTGCCCAGGAGTCCCCACGTGGGGACCAGTTGGGGACCAGGGGTGGCAATGGGGAGGGGGCAGTGGGGGGGGAGGGTTGTTTGTTGTTGTTTTGATTTTTTTTTAACTTTTTATTTTAATTGCTTTTTGTTTTGGTTGGCTTTTACGGCGGGGCGGGGGCAGGCGCCTGTGTACATATAAACGCTCGCCAGGTTTACGCCGCTCCGTCTGTTCTGCCGCGCGGCATCGGGCCAGGACCGGGTCGGGGCCGCGGCCCCCTGGATCCCCCCATCCGCCCACCCCACACCAGCAACTGGGAATGGGGAAAAAACAGGAGCTGGGGGAACAATCCCACCCCCATGSTCACTGCTGCCAGGGAGCCGGGATGCCCTAAGCAACAGCCCCCATCCTGCTGGCACTTCCCTCTGCATCCCGGAGCCACATCCCGGCCGSGCTCTACGTGGGCTAGGAGGCTCCCAGGGAAGCTACAGGGTATCCCGGGATTCTGCTCCAGCCAGCGGGACTGTTCAAGGGCCAGTTCTCACCCCAAACCAGCCCAGGGTGTCATCCCCATCGCCCCTTTTCCCTTCTTCTCAAAGAGGGAGGGAAGAGAGGGCAGGGAGGAAAAAAGAAGGAGCGCTGGTACTTTTTACTGAAGATGATTTTTAAACACATTCTCCTCCTAGTTTGGGTTTGCTGTTTGTTTGTTTCCTTCCTTCCTTCCTTCCTAGTGGTGGGATGGCACGGATATTCCTGTCAGTAAGTTTACCTTTGCTTGCCAAGCTGGAAATACAACTCAAAGCAAGGTATTTTTTGAGAGAGATCAGAGCTAGCTGGTTTCCTCGGGGCCGTTCTCCGGGGTTTCAGCAGGTACCAAGGCAGCCAAGGAGCCGCTTCGCTGCCGAGGGCTCTCGGCTCCCTGTGTTTTAAGAGGGATGCGGCTGTGACGGCCACTGACGGCTGCGGAATCGCGGCACCGYGAGGCCAGAGCCTCTTCCCTCGCCTTGGAGAAGCTGCTTGTCCAGTTTGGAATCTCTGCTCCCTATGGAATTCCAGACTGCCAACTGACTGCACTCCGGTGCAACCTCCCCTTACAGTAATATGAGGAGGAGGGAAATAACTTGGTAATTAACTGGCTTCTGCTCACGGCAGCCAACTTGGGTTAGACCCCAAGCTTTTCCCATGTGTTACCATGAGGACGCTACTCCCTCCGCAGGCTGCTGGAATAATCCAATCCCGCACTCCTGGCATCCTTGGATCTCCCCTTCCTGGGAGCACTGGGGGCAGCCTTTAAAGCCACCGCCCTGCGGAAAGGATCCTGCTGGGATCCATAAGGAGCTTCCCAGGCCTGGCACGGGGCTGGGAGCGCCTGTGGCCTCCCTTTCATGTGGCTGCTTCCTCCTCTCGAATCCTCCCGAGCCCTGGCGAMCGGCTGCTCCCTGGCAGGCTGCAAAGCCAGTGGAAATACCAGTTTTTCACTCTGGAGCAGGCAGCAATGCACCAGAAGATGCAACTGCAAATGCTGCCGTGCAGAGGACGGACCCAGCCTCAAGCTCTGAAGTCTCCCTGGGGCCCTTGAAGGCCATGCAGAAAAGCCAGGTAAGAGCTGGGAAGCGAKGGGAGATACTAAGAGTATCACATTGAAACTGCCTTGAGGAARGAGCTTTCTGCTGGCTTCCACTTCCCCCCTCACTAACCATCTGATCCTGCAGGAACCCAAGGTCACACTGGAGTCTCACTCTRTTTCTAGCTCCCTTCTTCCTCATCTCTCCCTTTGCAGGTGTTAGCTCCAGGCTCACTTCAAAACCTCATCCATTTGCAGAGCTAAATTCTAACAGCCCCTACTGACCTCTGTAATCCCAGTCTCCTCCAGCTTGGGACTGCTGGGACGTTCTCGGCATTTCAAGCTTTTCCCCCTAGCCCTTCTGCTAGGCCCTCCAGAAAAATGAGCCCACTTTCAGCAGCCAGGCCAGGAGCAGAGCACACAAAAACTGGGAGCTCTCTGGGACCCTCTTTTTAACACCCTCAATGGCCAGTGAATTCCCTCCACCTACTTCATTATTGGTGGTTTCTGGCTAAATCGGGATTGTTCCCAGGTTCCTTGGATCAGGAGCAGCTGGTCACAGGAGCAGCCTTGGGCAAGATGAGAAACCTGGCCAGCAGGAACAGTGAAAGCCCAGGCCAGCCCTGACCTTCCTCGTCCCCAACAAGGTAGCAAGGGAGCCTCAGCTCCAYGATGCTCCTTCCATGGAGGCAGGGAGTCCTGGGAAGTGCTCACCTCAMCGGGTCTGTGCCTAGTGCTCTTTCTAGTCTGTTACATCCTGGATAACGTGTCCTCAGTGCCCTCTTTGCAGCAGGTGACATCACCAGGTGTGTGTCACACACGAGGAACCCAGCCCCAAATGACCAAACCAGTGCCAAGACAATGAATACTACTGATCTCCAACTGAGCTTGAGAGCATCATCCAGTCTGTGGCCCCAAAGCTGTGTGCCCCCAACAGGCCTGGATTTGGCCCAGTGCTTTGTGGCTCATGAGCTGATTAAAAGCCAGTCTTTGTGGACTGGGAGAACACTTACGAGCAGCTTCATGCCTTCTGGTAGTCCAAGCACTGCCCAGTGCTCCTCCATCCAGGCAAAGACTGGTCGTCCAGCTCTCGCGTGCCGCAAACGCCAAGTGCTGCACGCCCACAGTTGGAATAAAAGTCAGAAACTGACAAAAATGTTTAATATTAGTTTGGAAGAAAAAGTTACCATACTCGCTTAGATGAGAAAATAACGACTACGTGTGTTTAGTGAGCTTTCCTGCTAAAACTGTCCAGCCACTGCTGTGGCTCTCCACTTAGGCCCAAGCAGGGAGGCCGGGCTCCCTGCAGCTGCTCTCAGTGCGTGACACAAAGCAAACTCACTTGGGATACAAAACACAACAGCCGCGGGAGCTGGCGGATGGAGGCTGCGCTCTGCTCTGCGTTTGGCTGCCGCTCGTGGGCCATGGCACATTTCAGCAGAACTGTAAGAGAAGGGAGGTTAAACCCCGATTAGAAAAGGGGAGCTGGGGAGGTGCAGGGCGTGCGCTGGTTGCCTGCAGGAAGGTGGGGATCCAGGTGATGGTTGCTCAGGCTGGCAAGGGCTGGGGTTTTGGCAGAGCTCGGTCCCGCTGCAGGAGCTGCACAGAGCTCCCCTTTGCACCCCTCAGCTCTGACACCTTGCAGTGCTGCCCTTTCTGCTCACYGTGAGCGGGTAGGGAGCCTTCTGCTCCCGTCCACCTTCTCTGCACAGAGCATAAMGGAGCAGGTTTAGAATCCTAAGTGTCCTCGCCACCATCTCTTGGAGGGGCGCGGGGAGCATGAAAAGCACCATGAAGCTGCTCAGGACAGAACAGGGGATTGCAGCGGGGGGGATGAGAATGTGAGACATGACCCCAGCTGGTCTGCAGAGAGAGGATGAACCCAGGAGCTCTGGCCTCTGCGCTGGGAGGAGGGATCCCTCGCTAGAGCAATGTCAGTGTTGGGCAAGCACCTCTGAGGCCAGCAGTACCGTGGGTGCAGCCACCCTAACACCCCTCAGTGCCAGTAATATCCTTGGTGCGCTACCTTCCAGCGATTCCCACACTCGTTGCACACGACGAAGGTGGTCATGGGCTCATCAGAGCTGCGGGTCTGCACCTGTGAAGGAGAGAAGAGAGATGAGAGCCGAGCAGCACGCAGGGCCACGCAGCAGCAGCTCCCTGTGCCTTCAGCCACCAGGGAACCCCGCTGGCCATCTCTCCCAGCCACAGACCATGGAGAAGCCAGCTCTGGAAAGGCAAAGGGAGCCTACGTGTAAAATGAGCCACATTTTTGTTTTATACACAAATATGCACCTATATACTTAGGTGCTAGGAGACTTGCCAATCCTGTAGCTAAGCCAGGCTTCGCATGCCATTGAAAATGTTTGTTTAGATCATTTAAGCATGAACAACGTATTAGCTAAGTGCTATCAACAGCTGCCTGCCAGCATCAGGGACCACTGGGGACAGACTCAGCCTTCCAGCAATGAAAGGCCACTGCTGGGGACTGGAGGCCAGCAGAGATGTCCTCCCTCGGCCCTTTTGCTGTCCCTTTCTCGGGGGCAGCTCTGGAGGTGCCCGTCCACACAGCTGGTCCCTCTCCACACCATTCCCAGGCACTGGCTGCACTCAGCGCTGCGGCCACAAAACTCGCAGCCCATCAAGCACATGTTCCAAGTGCAACACGTTAAAAAGCACTCAAGCCGTTCCCTTTTCCATACCTGCGTCCCAGCTTCCCAGGAACACACTTAGCAGGTTCTGCACATTTCTAGTCTGTTTTGTATTTGAGCCATTAAGGAGCTCTGATATTTAACCCAGATGTGACTGCTGCCTCTGAGCAGCTCTTGCCAGACACACATACTTTGCTAAAAATCAGATTTTCGTGGCATTTAAATTCTACAAGGCACCGGGTTTACACTGAAAATAYGGGCACTCCCTGCATAAATCAGCCAGCAGAACTATGCTGAGGGGTAATTATGGTGATCTCTGTAATTACCCAATGTGCAGAGTCGCAGTATTTGCAGGATGCAAATTAAGCATGTTTTGCAAGCATGCTGCATAGCTAAATTCTGTAATTCTCACCCGATGTCAGTGCTTCGCTCTGAATGCTCAAAAACACCCGTTCATCTACTTGAAATTTAGAACCTYTCTGTCACCAGGCAACATTTGGTGATTATCTTTCCATTGCAAAATAATAAAAATACAGAAAAGCTGTTGTTATTTACATCTAGCAGATTCTGCCCTGACCTGCTCCAGAGCACTTTAAGTGAGGCCAGRGCCCCAGATGCTGCTGATGCAGCTGAGGTACAGGCCAGTTCCAGGCAAGCTGGAGGGACACRGGCAGAGCCAGCCCTTGGGATGCAGGACTGCTCTTGAGCCCAAGGAAAAGCCCTGTCAGCTGCCTGCACATCTGTGCAGTGTCACATCTGTGCTTGCACATTGCAACCCAGCTTGTTCCTGGATTATTCTGGATATTCTGGATATTTCTGAAAATCTGACTCAGAGCAAAGGCACATTGATCTCCAGGCGGCTGCAGTGGACAAGGGAACCAAAAAGTCCTGGCAAAGCATGCGGTTTGGAGCAGCTGCCCATCAAGGAGAACAAGTCCTCTCTTCCTGCTCGCTCTGTGGCTTCATTTATCCTTTACTATAATGTTCCATCTGTGTGTATTGCTTGATTTTAAATAGGGAGGATTTATCCAGCTGCAGTCTATCTACACTCCTTAATTTGCACTTTTAATACCACCGACGTGCCTGCCTTTGTCCCGACAGCCTCTCTTCTCTATACTACCCACTCCCCTTTCTTTCCCAAATCTCCACACTTCTTTAAAGCCTTCCCAGCACCTGTTTCCAGTGCAAAGCTCTCTCAAGCTGCTCATGTATCAGTTGCTGACAGCTTCCTTGCTGGCTGCTGATGCAAAAACCCTGCTTTTAGAGATGCAAATCAGCATTTGCACAAATGGGCAGAACAATTTCTGCAAGCTTCGAGGGAGAGATGGGCACAAAATCAGCAGCACCGTGCTGTAAAAGCCCTGAATGTGCAAAAAGTGACATGACTGTCAAAATTTGTCCTGTGCTGCAGGACCTGACGCAGAGTAACCAGAGCTCAGGACCAGTGGAGATCATGTCCTGTGCTTGGGTCAGTGCTGTGGGGGCTGTAGGAGCCAGAAGACCAACCTGGGTGTAGGTGCAGTTCTTCTTCTTGCATTTCCCACAGGTGAAGAGGTCGGTCTGCGTCCCTCCCGTCTTGGCCATCTGATGCTCCCGGATTGCTTCTTTCGTCATGGCTTTCCTGATTTCTTTCAGCTCGTTACTGGCCATTTCCTTTCAAAAAAAAAAAAAAAAAAAGCAATAAAATCACATCTGTCCACAGTTTTACCACCACACCCACTGCAGGGGAAAGAAGCAACAGGGCAGGATGGCTTAAGGGATRGGTAATAAAGGGAGAAGCCTTTTGTTTCTGGTTATTGCCTAATATCTAGTGCTTTTTCATGATCTAAAGTCCCAGAAGACTCCCCTCCACAGTGCAAATCCCACTGCTAACCTCTTCCCCCRTGCACTCTGGCAGCAGCTGCACCCCGAGCCGTGCAGCCCTCTCAGCAGACCAAGTCCCCACTTCAACCCAATCCCACTGCCACAGCCCCTGTGTGCGACAGACCCTCTCTGACTTCCTCACCTCCGAGGTCATCACTGCGATCTGCTCAGGGGTAATGGCCCCGCACAGCACGTTCTTTTTCAGCTCAGGGTTTTTGGAGTCCTTCAGGTTCGAGATGCGGCTCCTCACGCGGTTTTTGTACTTCATGTCGGTGTTCTTGATGTCCTGGTATATGCGTGCGTGGCAGTCAAGGAGCGTGCAACCAACCCGGAGAACTCCAAGCACTTTCCACACCATTCAGGTGCAGCAGGAATTGTCACTGCTGCCAGGGCATACAACAGGGTGCTGCCGTCCCAAGACAGTGCCTGCTCTGGGAGGGTAACACCGGATTTGAGAACAGATTTCTGCAATCCCAGAGTCCAGGGGCTATCAATTCTTCTGGTCTTTTCCCTGTGCTGGAAATAACCTTTACTTTCAGTTACGCAGCAAGGCAGCCACAAAACGCTCTGCTAACAGCATCCAGCTGCATCTCCCTCCCCATCGGCCCCATATCAAGCAATCTCCTGGCTTATCTCACACCTACCTGCAACTTGATCCCCTCTGCTCCATCCTCCCCATCGCTTTTGCCCCACGTCAAACTCTCCTCAGGAAGGTGGCAGAGGGAAGCTGCATGTACCTGGAAGCAGAGCTGGGAACGGGAAGCAGGATTTTGGCAGGAGGGAGAAATTGAGGCCTGAAAATCCATGTGGTGCAGCCGGAAAGGAAAGGGCTGTGTCAATCACCCCGGCAGGGGCTCGGCTCGGAGCTCCCAGTACCGCATTCACGTTTCCTTAGTGATCCAGGACCGAGCCAAGCGGAGCTGGAAGCCAACCCCGAGCCCTGGCAAGCAGAGCCGCACCGCAATATTCACACAAAGAAAGCAGATTGACCCATTTTTCCCCATTAATTTCCTGGCCTGGGGGCTCCACTCATGCAGGCCCTTGAAAAGCTCCATATAGCAAGGATATATTCTTCGATCTGGGCCGCTATRTGCTCGCAGTCAGCACCAATGGCAACATAGTCATCTGCAAGACAAGAGAACAGGGGGTCAATCACTTCCCAACAGGCAACTGTATTTCTGAGATGATACAAATCTACAGAGTTTGTTATTCTGATTTAGGGGCTCCTGACATCAGCTGGCATCCTGGCCTTTGGTCTAGGCACCCTTCGACTCTTTGGAAAAGGCCAATGATAAAAATAGACAAATCCAGACAGTTTATGCCCTCTGCCTCTCTGCTCGATGGGCTACACTGGGGTACAGGTAAAAAGAACCTGCTCCCCCTTCCCCACAACACACATAGCTTTCCAAAATCCAGTGTATCCCTGGTATGGTTGAGGTCAAGCACATCGAGCCAGGAATTGATTCTCAGTGGCCACACTGTCAGTGAGAAGTAGCTCCACTGGATCAACTAATGGGGCCTGAAAATACACAGTGCTGGAGTCGAGCCTGCGTTTCGCAGCTCTGTGCTCCATCCCACCTTACCTTTCCTTTACAGACCCCTTCTTGCCATTAAACAGCATCATACAGAGCACAGGAGCTGCAAGAGCTTGGACACTGGTTATGTCAACCCATACCATAAAGCAGGGGAAGGTAGAGCAGAGCGGAGCTAAATGCAGCACCAGAGGTGAAGGAACTATTTTTCAGGCTGCACAGAGCAAGGGTTTTGATAAGAGCTGCACAAAGTATGCAATGCAACATATATGTACACATATACATCAGTAAGGCTTGAAATGTGGACATAAACATTCAGCAAAGATAGAAATGATGACTTTCTGAACGTGCCATCTATATTCTCTGGAGAACTCCCAAGCCCACCTGGATGCCACCCTGTGCCACATGCTCTGGGTGTCCCTGCCTGAGCAGGSGGTTGGACTGGATGATTTCTAGAGCTCCCTTCYAACCTCAACCATCTGGGATTCCGGGATTCCTCGGCTGCAAGCGCTCCTGCTTGCACACACAATTCCTAATGCCATCGCCTGACACACTGCCATGGTCCMGCTCAATGCCAAATCCTATGCAAGTGTCCAGAAATGCCACCGTGGCAGCAAATCTAACACAGGGGTGACCAGTGGCTGGACTTTGCTGAGCGGAGATCCCGCTGCCAGGAGGCACCAGGAGCTACGGAGCACATTGGACAACACGGGGTCCCCTCCCTGCCTTACCATCGGCCTGCAGAGCGGTGGTCAGCATTTCTCTGCATTTGTTGCGGACCGCGTCGCAGGTGACGGGCGCTGGAGGGAAGCTGGTGATTTTGGGGGTGGTCGGAGTCTTCGGAGGCTCCTGCCTTTTGTTGGAGCTAAAAGAGAAACTTCACCTGTCAGAATGCCGCAGTTCGGGTCACCGAGAGCACTGAAGGGACCAGCAGGCACACGGCCAAGCACTCTGTTAATTATAATATGAAACCAGTCAGAGGAAACGGTGCAAAGACACATGCCCCAAACCAGCACACKGTGCGATACAGCAGCCACCATCACAACCCCGACACAGGCTCCTCCACGGACTCTGATGCTTTAACCCATTAGGCAGACCCAGTACCCACGTCACGACCACTGATATCACTGATATCCATGCCAGACCACTAGATATCAACTGAAAACACCATGAAGCTGCTGGACACTGTCAGTCACACAAGCTCAGGACTTCTGTGAGCACCAGCACTCGCTGGGTCTGTTATCGCAGCCACACAGCCCGTCCTGTCCCTCCTGCTTCCCAAAATACAACAAATATTCTCCGTAACTGCTCTCAGAAGCAAGGGAGCAGAAGGCAGCACTAAGGGTAATCTCAGTGGGTGCTGAGCTGCTCCTCAATTCACATCTAAGATGTCAGAGCAGAAGAGAACAGCGAAACAGAAAAATCCCCGCTAAGATCCAGCCCTGCAGCTTCTATGCTAGGATGTAGAAAGGAAACGGCTCCTTCAGCTCTGGTATTTTCAAAAAACACATCAGAGGGCCTTTGATTTTCCCTGTGGCTCTGGACAAGCGTTTTGATTCCTCCTCTTGCAGAAGAGCATCCCTGCATGGGCACATGCGCTTCACCCAGGTGCCAGGCTGACAGAACACAAATAAACAGCCCTTCACTTGCAAAAAAAAAAAAAAGAAAAAAGAAAAAAGAAAAAAAGAGTTTCATTTTCCACCTGCAAGCAATTGTGGGCACTGCAAGGGAGCACCAACATCTGCCTGTTGTGACTGTGCCTCAGGCAGGTCGTTTGCTGGAGGGGAACCAGCCTGAGGCCTAAGGCACCTAATTGCAGCCCAATTAGCACAAGGAAGCACTGCCCGGGTTCTGCTTGCAGCCCTGCATGCCAGGGCTGCTCGGGGGGCACCTACAGCATGCAGACATCCTGCCCATAAAGCCCAGCATCTGCACGGAGAGTCAGTTAGCCTCACAAAAAACAYCCGCAAAAATAGCAATAATAAAAAGGCCTATTATGATTCCCAGATGATTTTATAGAGCTCTTAAATCTAAGCAGCAAAATAGCAAACTTTTCAGCAGAGGTTGCTCTGCCTTTGGTGTTCGGGCCATAAAACGCACAGCATTTCTTGGCAGCGTCTGGGTAACATTAATGCAGGAACAGACAAGAAGGAAGAAATGGGGAAACCCACGAYACGTAACCCCTGCCGCAGTGGAAATGTCTCCTTGAAGACCCAAGTGGTTGGACAATCCCCGTCAGGCTGGGATGCRACTGCCAACTTCTCCTCGGAAATACAACTCTCAAGAACAGGAACTATCACTGCACTGTCCTGGAACGGATTAGTGATCCTACCAGGAGCAGTGCCGGAATCCAAGGGAAGCTGCTGCTGTAGGAACGGAGCCAGACAATTTCAGGGACCGATCCGGGGACACTTGGCTCCTGTCAGCTCAAAGTTAGTGCTACAGGACTTCCATAGTTCCAAATGCCACCAAGTCACCCACAATTTCAGATTGATCTGGCAATGACACCCAGCACAACTCGGGTCGAACCAGAGCTGGAAGATGATTTTTTTTTGCTCAGTTGAAATAGACGCATGGGAAATTATCCTGTGAGCTGACTGGGCTTCTCTCTGATCAGAATAAAATAAGAAATAAAAATACTTTGGTAATATTYGATTTTCAAGAAGGTTCTAGCCATGAGCGCAATTGACTTAGATACTTGGATGTTTATATCCTGGAAGCAGAGGGGAAAAATATCAATCAACCAATAAATAAATAGGTAAGTTTTCCCATTTCTATTATGTAATAAGTAAAGAAATGTTCACCTACATGCATGGGATCTCAAAAAGCTTCTTCAAGCAGCTTGAAGGAAACTGAGGAACTTCTGCTTGGAGAGGTCTGGCGAGCAGAAGACTCCTGCCTGAGTGTCCTCAGCACTAAGTCAATGGCCATTTTGAAATAACTAAAAACACTCCGTCGTGCCACGCTCCATCCAGCTACAAGGCAGGAAAGGCTCTGAAATCTCAAATTTCCACCGGACAGGAAAGCTGTTTCTGGCCTATTTCTAAAAAGAAGTCCCTGGAGTCTATTCTAGAAATCTCAATTGCCCAAGGTAGCCCCAAATGCTGAAAGACGGCGGCTCGCTGAGTCAAAGCACAAGGGAAGATGAGCGGAGTGGGCAAAGGGAATCAAATTCCATTTGAGCCCTGTCAGGCACTGATGGCATCACTGATCACTCCTGATCAAATGCGACAGGTTTTGGCCACTCCACAGACTCTATAGCTAGTTATTTATTAGGCTTTAGAAGTTTACAAYTAGACTAGTTGGAAAACAGACCTCAAACACACTGAGAAGACTTATTTCAGGAAATCCTTGTGGTTCATGCTGTTCCTGTTAAGAGAAGGAACTTTAAAGTCTATCCGGATAACCGAAGTTTCTACGTTAAAAAGAGAACAACGCTAGAGCAAAACGGTGGTAGAGAAGCAGCCAAGGGAAGAGAAACTGGCAGAAGAGCAGAATTCAGGCCTCAGATCCAAAAAAAAAAAAACCCTAAGAAAGGCTTAAGAGGATGCTGGAAAAGACAAAGTTCACGCTGCCAGAGAAACACTAGACACGGCCCATGAGAAGGCAGATCTAAAATGCTGCAGCCTGACGGGATATGCTCAGGATTACAGCAATACAGAACACGGCTTTGCAGGTGCCAGCTCCACACGCGCTGGCCAGAAGCCTTCAGGTCCAGCAGTGTCAGCRCTCTAGTCCCTACGCGAGGCCTTCTGCATCTGTGCTCCAAAAACCAAGGCAAGATCCAGGCCAAGAGCTGCTCAAACATTTCTCCCTGACAGAAGAGGCAGYCCCAGCCAAAAGCTCTCAGACTAAGAGGCTGGGCTCTGTGGATACAAACCGAGCTCTTCTGGGCCTCGGGAGCAGCCTCAGCTGAAGCGGCCATCAGGCCCCGAGCAATGAATCAGCCTCCCTTCATCACAGCCCGCGCTTTAGAGAGCCYGGCCAAAGACTTTTTACTGCTAATAAATTATTTTTGTGTCAAGGCAGATTAGTAGCTTGTTTTGCACCACTATAGAATGAGCAGTCTTGTCTCTGCAAGAAGAGCCCGGGTCAACAGCCTGACACGAGGTGCTCGCTCCTCCTCTGTCTCCCTTCCTCCTGTCTGTCCCAAAAAACCAAGGGCACATCCTGTCGTTTAGAAGATACTGGAGGATGAATACATATAGAAGGCATCAAGGGGAAAAGAAAACACATAATAAAGCAGGAACTGCAGCATATCCAAAGGCATAGCACAAGCCAGAAGGCTCCACTGCACATACCCCATGGCCATTGCACACTGAAGCAGGGCAGAGTGGGGCAGGTTGGGCTAACTTTGAATAATTTTGAATTTCTACAGGCCTTGGCCATTAAATCAGATGTCCAAACAAACCTAGCTAGCTTTGCTCACCAATGTACGCAGGGATGTGCACCACACTTCCTTTGCTCTAGGCTTGGCATTCCCTGCGCTCCTTCTTCCAAAGATTCAGGCAGAGGCTTCTCCCTTCCTCAAACTGCAAAGCTGCTGCCTGGCTGGAGCAGCACCAGACACATCTGTAGAACTTAGCCCTCCTTTACAACCATGCATGAATCATTGGCACRGAGGTACAAATAGCTTTAAGGTTAACTCAGCACGAACTCAGAGGCACTTACTACTGGTGAGAGCAGCCCGTAAGTGCAAAGCAAAATAATTCCTGCTTCGTGTCAAGCTTTAGAAGAAAAGGACCTTCTCTTCCCATCAGGAGGAGCAGACAAATGTTCCCACTGAGGTTTCTGCCCTCACCCTGCAGGGGAAGATGCCTCCGCTCTAGCAGTGCGCAGAAAACACGCACCAAGGCTCTTACCCCACCACTGGCTCAGTGCTACCCTTATCAGCCCTACAGCAGCTCCTCCCCGTGCTCACAGCCTCAGGAAGCGGGTACCAGTCCGCATTTTAGGCTGTTGTTGGGACCGGATACCTGGGAGACTCCAGCCTCCKGCTCGTACTCCAAGAAGACCCTCCTGCACCAGAGTGTCACTGTGTCACCCCCGCACACAACTAGGCCACCACACTGCTACAAAGCTGAACGCTTCTGGCTGGGAGGCCTTCTCCACACATTCCCTGCAACAGTTAGTTGGAATTGTGGTCTTCCTTTCCAATGCAAGGTGAGCCAGCCACAGACGCAAGTAACAAAGCCAAGTTCTCCAGCCCAGCATTAAGCAGCCTGTCTCCTCGGGTGCCCTCGGCAGAGTGGCCCAGGGTGAGAAGGCTCCCACCAAAAGACCAGCCTGGAGACAGGCCCCAGCAAACACAAAAATGGGTGGAGTGACAGGAAAGGTGTCTAAGAGAGAGTCCTCAAAGCAGAGGGAATATRGCATTGATCATCTAAATCCTCCAGCAAATTTCAGAAAGTATCAAAGCTATGAAATACAGACAGTGTGAGGATCTGAGGCTGAAAACACCTCTGGAAAGGGTCTAGGACAAGGCTGTTGAACCTTGCMTTTGCTCCCTCCCCTCGGATCACGCTGCTTCCACTCCATGGCTTAGCAAGTGCAGCTGCAGACAGCGGCAACAGGCTGCAACATTCAGGGCATGGCAAGGGACAAGCATGCAGCGGACCTGCCAGATGGGTGGACATCAGTCCAGAGTGAAAAGAGGACTTCTACCGGTCCTTGCTGACAAGAGGACAAGAAAAAGAGGAAGGTTTACTACAGGGAGGCATGAGGATCACTGCCATCCATCATCTGYGCCTGCAAAGGCTAAAAATAATCTCCATTCTAAAGGAGTTCAAAGTTAGAACTATGCAAAAAGTACAAAAATGCAACACAAAACACTCAGAGGAATGTTTTATTAATAATAATAAAAATAACACAAAGCCGAGAATGGAAAAAAAACAACAAATAAGTCATAAGACGTGAACAAWGGCAACAAAAAAAGGAAAAAAAAAAGAAAAAGAAAAATCACTAAAGCCACTGTATTTTGTAGATGTTTATTTCTGCATTACAGTTCTCTTTTTCTTTATTAAGAATACCACACAGATGGTCACTGAAGATGTCTAGACTCCTGGTGTATGTGACCAGACATTTAAGCATGCCAAATTCCTGGCTCACACACTTAAAATTAAAAATTAACACAAAATGCCACAATAAAACTTAAATTATGTACGAGTACCATCTTTGGCTAAAGGGGAGCATTACCTTTGGTCTCTTGAGTTAGTCTCCTTTGAGGACGATGTTGGCAAGGACAGGTTTTTCTTCTTCTCCTCACTTTTCTCCTCAGAAGCATCTAGATTAAAAAAACAAAAAGAAAAAGCAAACTTGAATGCTCAAGACTTCAGAATTGGTATTTACACAAGAACCCTGAATATATTAAGCGTCTTCAAGAGACCGACCAGAGTTGGTCTAAGGCAAACTGTTATCCTTAGAAAAAAAAAAATATATATATAGGAGAAGAGAGGTGGTCTTGGGGCCTCCCACACCCCCAGACCTTTCATTTGCCTCCAAGTAGGAAGGATTTGGAGGAAGTTTTCCTCACCTGGCCTTTAGGAAGGGAGCAACCCCCTTCCTCGCTGGGAGATGAGCTTCCTCACAAGACATGCCTCATCACAAAGGTTTATTTGTGAGAGGCCTTTGGCTGCAGCGCACAGGTTAGATCAAGTTCTCCACAGCACCACTTTTCCAGCAGTATTTCACGCCCGTGACACTCGAGGGGCCAGTAAGGGCAGGCCCTTGGGGGAATCCCATTTCTCACGTTTCCCAAGTGCTGCTGAAAGCCAGTAGCACAACCCTGCAGAAAAGGTTCATTTTTACTGTAAAAAAGATCAGCTCAAGGGGTAAATTGCGCTAGCCTAGCCAATATGCAGCAGTGCAGCGTTGAAATGCCCACCTAAGGCAGGAGAGGAAAGCAGCACTTCCAACACTCATTTAGTCTGTTAAGAAGCAGGGTCTTCTCAGTCGCAGTTTAGAGCTAGCCGCTCACTTCACTTGAAACAAACACCGTGTCATATTTGTTCTTATTCTTTCACTTTACAGAGCTACACGAGATATCAGTTTAAAAACAGAAACAAGGCAAGTCTGAATTTCATTTCAGTGGCACAGGCTCATTGCCCTATTAGCAGGGCCAACAATTCTTGGTTCTGTTTCGTTTTTAACCACACAAATATAACCACTGGGGACCACATTTGTAAACTTTACATGTAGTTTTGAGGTTGGTTCATTTGGGCTGTATCAGCATGAAGATTCTTCAGGCGGAATTACAAGTTTCTGCTCATCAGTGCCCAGCACCATGAAAGCCTTCCCAGCAGGAAGAAGCCTGGGGGAATTTGCCTACAAAGGTGTTAAAATAAGGCCATACCCCAAACACATTCCAGCATATCCCTTGAAGGCCTCCATCATATCCCTTTCCAGGCTGTTACACCTGGATGACAGCGGATGCTGGTTTAATGTACACCAAAATGTGATGGAGTGTTCAGAGCACAGACACCGTTTACAGTTTCTGCAGCTAACACTGCTAATAATATGACCAGGTACATGTTCAGAACTGTCCTGAAGCTTCCAATACTCTTTCCAGGAAAAATTATGCTTAAGGTCGACAACTGGAACTAAAGCCAGAGGAATGCATGCTAAGACATGAGAGAGGGTGCATTCTGAAAAGCTGACCAGCTAAAATGCTCCATCTACATCAATAGATAAGTTCTCTTATTTTATTGTGAACCCCAATCTCTAGCTGAAGTCAGCTACTTAGTAAGTTGAAGCTGACAGGAAAAAAAATRTGTATTTTCTTACCCAGAAGTTTTTTCCAAGACTTGATGAGTGATTTGGCAAGAGATATCACCTCTTCATCTGTGCTCTGCTTCCTCAGTGCATTTACTGACATCCCAATGCGGGTGGACTGCAAGAGAACGTTCAAATGAATCACTCAGGAGCAGATATTTGTTACTGACCAAAGTCAAAACCAAAGTAACAACCAAAACGTAGAGCACCCAGGACCCCACAGAACCATCATCTCCTCCCAGCTTTGCAAGACCAAGGTGACAGTCTTTGGTTTACTCAAACTGATGCATGAGTTTGGCCTCTGCTCACCCTCAAATGCCTTTTCCACCCATCTATAAACACTTAAAGCTTAGCTTGAAAAAATCCAGGATGAATACCTTAGTCTCTGAATTGTTATTCTATTCACACCTCCCCATAGAGAGCATCCCAAAAATCACCATCACAAAGCCTTAAACAAGCACACCCATGATGGCCCTTCATGTTTGCCACTTTATTCTGCTTTTCCCTCTTTCTGAAATCCATGAAAGGATTTGAGCAGTTACCCACACCTGCCTCATCAAGAGTGCATTAAACTATTGAGGCACCAAAGCCACCTAACTGTGAGTCCAAAGCCACAGTTGGGTACTATTTTCTAGATGCAATGTTCAATTTGATGCTTTGAGTGAGGCAAGAAATCAAAGGGAACCTCATTAAATTCATTTAAACATCTTTTCTGGTTCATCCCGGTGGAGTTTTCCAGCTGTGCAACTCACCTGCAGCAAGTCCAGAGTCATGGGCATACTTTTGAGCTCTTTCAGTAAATCCATTGCACCATCCTGCAGAGGAAAAACAGTCTAACRGTGAGAGTGCCTCCCTATGCAGAGTGTGTCCGGTTCCCAACAGCTGAAAGATACACCTGGAATCACAACCGCCCTCTCAGCACAACACTTGTCTTGCAGGAACAATCCTACTGTCAGATTCAGGGGTTTGGGGGCTCAGATTGAAGATGTAGTTCACCAAATAAATAAATAAAAAGGCATTTTAGCACAAGAGCTTCGCAATAACTCACCCACCGCTCAGAACCACCGCACAACGCMAGAGCTACACGCATCTTTCTACAACTTTCCATGCTATAAAACATCAAGTAGCTGTTTCCAGCCTACTGCTCTTGAGCATTGACGCTGCTCAGCACGAGAACCAAAACCAGCAGCAAGGCCGACAACCAGCGACGTTTCCAGGCACCAGCTGTGCATCCAAGGGCCCAGATCCAGCACCTCCTCAGAGCCGAGCGGCAGGGACAGAAGCACCAGCCGAGGCTGCTCTTGGCAGCACCCTGGGCACAGCCAGGAACGGGTCACTCTCTGCTCACCCTGCAGCTGCCTCCCAATTCCTTCTATCAAGCAAGGTCTTCTAACATTCACATTTAGCAGCTCTTTCTAAATACTAACCACTGCAGGGCCATTGCAGCGCCAGGCCTGCGGATTCGGTAAGCGCAGGGATGCGGAGCGGCCGGCACTGAGGGATCCTGCCCTCACATCCCTCCATGCCCATGCGGAGGGGCCATCTCCAACTCTTCACGAGCAGCAATCCGGCTGCAGGGCCACTCTGCAGGACCGAGGGCAAGAACGCCAGGGCCAAACTGAAGGTTTCTACGCACACAAGTGATTTAATCCAGCACAAACCATGCGTTACTGCACCTGGAATGAGAGACTTGCCATCCAGGCAAGTTTCACACCTTCACTTCCCCAGTGGTCACAGATCATGTCTCTCAAATCCAAACATAAGCAACAAATCTTAACATACAAAATGCCCGATTCCTGTGTCCACAGTGAGAAATGGAGCCACCTGGGGCCAYGGCAATAAACAGGGATCCGCTCAAGCTAGAGCAACAAGCAGGTGCTCCAGGATATCATCCTGCGGGAAGAGTTTGCAGATTAGCTGATAAAATAAACACACCTATATGGTTCAGCGCCACATCAAATGCCAACAGGAGCATTCCAGACAGCTCATTTAAGAAGCTCCCTCCTGTGCTGTGAAGCCTGGAAGTAAATTCAGCAAATCTGCTCCTTTCCCATTGAAACATGGGCATTGTAAGAACTGCTGGCAATGGGACCAGGCTGCAGCTYGGCCTGGATGCAGGGCTGTGGGACAGCGAGCTGGGCTTTCTGCAGCCAACACAAGGGGCCTTCTGAGGGCAGCAGGGAGGATAACAGCAGCAGGGCGTAGAACAGGTCTCAGTTTCCATGCAGGAACGCCTRGCCCGATGCAAACCGCTCGGCAAAGCCCCAGTCCCGCAGGGGAGCGCGGAGGGGATGTTTGGCAGCAGGGAACCCGCTGCCCCTGCACGGCTCCGGCGCGGGCACGAGCATCACTGTGTGAGCACCGAGAGCACCGGGACGGAAACACGGGAGCTCCCTGAGGATATGGAGCCGGGGGGAGGCGCGAGGACCCCCTCCCGAGGGCTCCTTGGGGGTCTCCCCTGRAGGGGAAGTGGCTCAGTAGGGAGTTGGGGTGCTGAGCTGGGGGGTCCCATGGAGATGGGGGAGAAGGGGGGTCCTGTCCTGAGGAGCAGCTGGGGGGGCACCAGAGAGGACCCCCCCTTGCCACCCAACAGCGCGGAAATTGGGAAGGGGGAAACTCCTCACATATTGGGAAGAGGGAGGCCCCTCACATCACAGCAGGGATGGGTGCGGGGAAAGGAGCCCCCAGCCCAAAGGGGGGGTTGTAGGAGGGGACCCCCACCCCAAAGGGGGAGGGCATTGAGGGGTGCTGGTAGAGAGACCACCCCAAAAAGGGGGGACCCACCAAAAGGGGCAGCTTTGGGGGGGCCTGGAGAGGACCCCATCCCAAAGGGGGGAGAATCCTCCATGGCGAAGGGGTCTCATCACAACGGGGACCGTTTGGGGGRGGCTGGGCGAGAGGACCCCCCCCCATAACAGGAAGGGATCGAGGCGGGGAGGGACCCCTCCCACATCGGAAGCGGGCCCGGCCGCTGCCCGCGCCCCGCGGGACTCACCGCGCTCTTCTTGGCCACCATCTTGTCCAGCCGCTTGGCGATGCGCACGATCTCGTCCTCCCCGCCCATCGCTCCGCTCCCCGCGGCCGTTGCGCCGCCCGGGGAGCCGGGGCGGGAGGGGGGGGAGCGGCCGACGGCGGGGGGTGCGATAGGCGGCAGCGGCTCCGCGGTGCCCACAGCCCCCGGTACCGCAGTCCGGGCGGGCCGGGCGGCGCGCGCGGCACGACGGGACTCGTAGTCCTCCGGGCGCCCGCCCCGCCTCTTCCCGGCGTCCGGCCGCGCGGCGGGACTACAACTCCCAGCAGCCCGCGCGGCGCCGCCCTGGCCCGTCGCGGGGCATTGTGGGGGCTGCAGTCCGTCCGGCTGGGCGTGGCGGGAGCGGCGCCGTTACCCTGCGGCGGGCGCCATTTTGCTCCGCGCGCTCTCCAGGGGTCCGCGAGCAGCCGGGCCGGGCCGAACCGGGCCGAGCCGGGCCGAGCCGGGCCGGGGAGCGGGGAAGCAGCGGGGGCTGAGCAGCGGGAAGCGCCCAGCGAAGCGGCGGCGGCTCCCGGCGAGGCCGCCGTGCAGGCAGGCCCGGTGCGGCCGGTGCCGGAGGCGGGCGGCGGGGCCACCCTGTAGGTGGCACTCGTACACCGCCGAGCGCCCGCTGCCCGGCGCCCTCCTGCCGCCCTTGGGCCCCGGCGACACGGGAGGCACCGGGTGGGCCGCTCCCGGTGCCGCCGCCTGCCCTTCCCGTGTGCCCGGCTGCCCGCAACGGGAAAGCGGGACAGGGAACCCGGCAAGGGCTCCTCGGTGCCCGTGGGGCTGCCAGGGCTGGGGTCRGGCCAGTTTGCAGCTCGTCACCGGCCTCAGTCCCACCGTGCCACCGTCCCCGAAGCTGCTGCCCTGCCCGCTGACCAGGTGGTTGTTGGGCCCTCCTCAAGCACCAGGAGCCCCCCTGGATCCCAGGCAGRCGCTTGGATCCCGTGCGGAGCAGCCGGGAAGGCGCCGCTCACGGAGCCTCTCGCCGGCACCGTGTCGGGAGCCGCCTGAAGCCTCCCGCCCCGGCCTCACGTCTGCAGCCGCAAACACCCGCTGCAGCTTCCCAACCACGGCCACCAACGTGGATCGCGTTCCCAAGCGCACGGTTACAGCACCATCACCTCAGCCATTCCCGGCTCCGAGCGCCGCCGCGCGCCGGGACAGCGGGACCCGCAGCGGCCGCGCGAGACCCCCCCGCAGCCTGCACCCCCACTGCGGGAAGGGAAACTGCCCCGCGCGGCGCCCCCACGGGCCGAGCATCTTCCCAAGGGATAAGGGGCGCCGCGGGCTCCCGGCTGACCTTGGCCGGGCGGCCGAGCGGCGTCGCGAGCCGCCGGCACCAGCGCTGCCCRGGCCTGGGTGGAGGCAGATGCAGAGGAAACTCCACCTCCGCGGGAGCCGACCTGCCATTGCAGGAATTCCCAGAGAAATTCCCGCTTGGGCTCGTCTGTCAGCRGATCCGTGAACTCTCCTTTACCTCTCGCCGCAGCAGCTACTTGGATGTGCTAAAAGCGGAGCAGGGTGAGGCTGTCGCCAGGGGCTCAGCCCCGCCAGCAGGCTGAGGTGGCGGCGCCAGCRGGAGCTCAGTGCCAAATAGCACAAAATCCCCCCTGGATCTGCCGCGGGCCAGCGGCTTTTCCCACGGGATCCCATTCCCATGCCAAACGATGGGCCGTGTCGCAGTGGGGGCTGTTGGGCACCCTGGTTCTCCCCTGGCACTGTGAACCCCCCCAGCAGCACTGGCCAAACCATTCCCAGCCCCAAGGTCGCTCCGGACGGTGCATCCGTCCCCCMTTCCTGAGCAGCCCGTGTTTGGGAGAGAGCCGGGAGAACCAGCCCTACAGACCTGAGCCTCTCGGCACCAGCCCCGGAGCAAAGGCAGGAAGGCTCCTCCTTGTCTCCATCCTTGCTGCAAGTGCCCGATATCCCCTTGGAATAGGGGACCTGGGACCCCAGGGGCCAACATCCACCATCCAGAAACTTAAGGAACCTGGAGAGCTTGGCCCAAACCCTCCTTGTGTTTCTGTCTTGCAGAACATCCCGATTTCTCCTCCTTTTTCCCCTTAGGCACCAAGGCAGCCATGGTTTCCCTGCGATGCCTGGGCACAGCTGAGGATAACAGAGGAGGGACCCAAACCSCCGCGTCCTGCAGCTTCCCAGAGCGGCACTGCTGTGTAGGGGGCAAGTCCTGCACGTGGAGGGACCGCAGGATTCGGCAGCAGCCGAGGAGAAGCCGAAGCCTCCTGCGAATGGGGACGTGGAAAAGAGGAGCAACCGTCTCCCCTGGATGCTGCTCATCACCGGCGCCCGGGTCGAGCTTGGACCTGCAGCTTTGCTGCCCTGACGAGACATTTTGGATGTTCCCCACATCCCTCACATTACATGACTTTAATTTCACTTCCTGCTGTTCCAAATAACCATGGAGGGGAGAGACCACAGCGAGCGCGACACCCACAGCGTGCGGCGCCGCGGCCGGGCCCGTGCGTGCGAGCGCGCGCGGCGCCGCCTCCCCCTGCTCTCCCGGCCTCTTTTTATTCCCTTCCATCAGTCCTAGGAAGTGCGAGCCCTTCGTTTGGCTATTTGTGTCCGCGAGCCCACGCCCGGYGTCCTTGACCCCGCGCGGCCCCCCGCGCCGCCGCTTCCCTTTTGGCCCTCGCCAAGCGCCGCTCCGAAACGGGGCCTTGATAAGTCCGCTGTGGGAAGGCCGGGGCTCCGGGGCTCCCAGCCGGCCCTTTCCCAGGGAGCGTTTCCGATGCCACCGCCGTCCCGGGCTCTGGGAAGGACCCAGCGCCTTCCTCGGAGCCCCCTGCGCATCCYGCCGGGAACAGCCGCTCTATCCAAGCGCCAGATTACATTGGGGGCTGTGGGAAGGGGTTGGGGACCGCTGGGACACAGGGACAGCCCCCCCGGARCAGCGCGGAGCCCACAGTGCGAGCCCTGAGCTCACCCGCGCGCCTCAAACAATACCCCCCTTTCCCGCCCGGCACAATTCCCAGAAATGCCCGGCCTCCCGCTGGAATCTCCCGAGGGAAGCGCCGCAACCGCCCTCCGCGTGCGCTCGGGCCGGGAGAAGCCCCCCTCGCGCGCGGCCGYGCGCGAGGGGGGCTTCTCCCGACCCGAGCGCGCGGCGGGATCCGTTCCAAGGATCCCCTGGGATCGGCCACATTGTCCCTTGGAACGCAGGGGGACGGCCGGGCAGGGCAGACTCTCCGGCTGCCTGGTGCTTCCTGCCTCCCCAGCCACGGGCGCCYGCCGGACATCATTGTTCCCGCTGGGAACGCCAGGGACGGGCCCGATGGCTCCGATAAGGCCCCGGCCTCCCGCGGTGCTTCCCGAGGACGGTTTGGGGATGGGATGGGGTGATGCCGGTGCTTGGGGACCGGGAGCGCTCCTGGAAAAGGGTCCAAGGTCCCCGCTGGCCTTGGCCCCCTGTTAACCCCAATTTTGCCCTGAACATCCCCAGGGTGCACGGTGGTGACAGGGACACGGGACGGCCACATCCGCGCGCTCCTTCCTCTTCCCCACGCAGGGAGCACGGACGATTCCACAACCGCCCTGTGAACCCTCTGGATGGACGGGAAGCTGCACAAGGACACGGAGCCGCRTGTGCCATGGGACAGGGACCTTGCAGCGTCCTTGTCCCCGCACACCTGGGCACAGCCACGCGGGAGAGCACCCCGCGCCGCCCCGCGTGCCTTCTCCGCAGCTCCTCAGCCCRTTTTCCGCGGCTCCTCGGCCCCGTCTCCCAGCATTGTTGGCCCGACAATGGAAGCTGTTTGTGTTATTGTGTCCCCGAGGCYCTGCCAGCAGCACATGTGTCCCGCGCTGATAGCAGCAGCCTTTGGCAGCCCCGAGGCTCCATCAGATAAGAGCGGAGCGGTGCTGCGGGCGCGTGGCACGATCCGGTGCGCTCCGAACCCACGGGCGGCGCTGCCCGGAGCGGGGCTGGCGCTCAGAGCCGGCACCTGGCACCGCGGGAGCCTCTCCCAGAGCCCTTCCCGCAGCCGAGCGGTGCCCAGGGAGCCGCCGCCGCCTTCAGCCTCGGCACTCGCACCCTCCTCCTCCTCCCTCATGGTTTTGCAGCCATCCCCGCTGCCGTTTTTCCCTGCCTGTAGCACAGGATGCTCCAGAATGGAAAAGCAAAGGAAAAAGGCCTTAACCTCCACCRAGCTTTAAAGCATCCTGACTTTCTGGGCAGCGTGTGCAGTGGCAGCGGGCGCAGCTCCCCCCGTGCCATTGTGCCACGCGCACCACGTCCCTTGGCTGCAGCATCTCGCCCCTTTCCCGCTATTCCTCCCTTCCAGGAGCGGGGGCTGTGGATCGCCCCGCGACACCCTCCCTTTGCTGGGGAGCTAGAGCTCGTCAAGCAGCAAACCCTTCCCAGATGTGTCCCGGCGCGGCCGCCCTGCGCTCCTCCGCGAGGAAAACGCGCCGCGCCGGCGGGAGCCGCTSAACGGCAGCCAGGGCTGCCTCGCGGCGGCTCTGCCGCGCTCCGCGGCCACGTATTTGGCACCCGCTGCTCCGCGTTGAGGTAATTCATTAATGCTGACCCAAAAATGTGTTTATGGGAGGCTTGAAATGCCTGCTGCAAGCGTAAGACTTTCCTCCCCAAAAGCGCGAGCTCTCGCTGGGAGAAGGGAGGATGAAGCGAGCGCCGCCGCCGGCTGCTCGGGAAGCGGCTCAGCCCGGAGCGCGCCCGGTGCCGGGGGCCCAACGGCGCCCGCACCCAGCCCGGAGCGGATCTGGGATCCGCTGCAAACACGGGACGATGCTCCGGGTGTGGGGAATGGGCCCTGGAGCTGCTCCGCACTGCGCGCACAGGAGGATGCTCCGGAGGGATGAGCCTGGACAGAACGTGGCTGCTTTGAGTCATCCCAGGCAGGAGAGCGGGAGAGGGAGGTCGGCTCGATCCGGGCCACGATCTTGCCATCCCATCGGCAGCAACAGCAGGACGGGATGGCTGCACAGAACCTCCCATTTTTGGTCTGTCGCCAAGGACTCAGAAAAGCAGGGAAGGCAACTCCTGAAGGCTCCTGCATCCCAGCGCCTTTTCCCACCGTACCCTCTGTGGGTTTAGCTGGTCGATTTACCTGRAAATAAGGAAAAATTGAATGAGCAAAGAGCCCCGTGCCGGGACGAGCCCGGTTCTCACTGCTCCTCCTCGGGAGGGGACCGTGGCCATCGTTCCCCCACACGCACCCCGGCTTGGGGAGGAAAAGCGGGTCCGGGCTGGGGGCTTCCCTGGGCGGTCTCTGCGTCCTCACCCACGCGCCTGGTTTTCAAGACTGCACTCAACGGAGCCGAGTGGCCCCGGGCACAGAGGAGCACCCAGGCYGGGGTGTCCCCTGCAGTTCATGGGGATCGTCGCTCAGCGCCCATCGGGTGTCCGGGCAGGTGCACTGGGAAGTGCCACGTTCCCGGTCACTGTCCAGGAACTCGAACGCTGATGGTACCGACGCTCCACAGAGAGACCCCGGGCAGCGAGGAGACGGTGCCCGGGCCCCCAGGATGGGCTGCATTCCCCGGGTGCTCTGCCATAGGCAGCATCCACCTGCCACAGATTTGGGAAGGGGGGACATCCAGCTGGGCGTCCCTCGGGGCTGCTTGTGCAGCATCATGCGCAGTGGGACACAGGGACACATCGGGGGGGTCTCCGCTCACCGGGCCCCCCTGCTCCTCTGGGGAACCCAGCAGCCGAGCAGGATGGGGCGACTTGGGGCTAATGAGAAGCAGGAGGCGATGCCGGGATSGGGGCGGGGAAGGAAGATTCCCTTTGTGTTTGGAGCAGAGACCGGAGCAGGACCGGAGYGGGACCCGCCGGCAGCCTCTGCTGGGGAGGTGCTGGAGCTGCCAGCCCCAAAACTGGGGGAAAAAGGAAAAAAAGGAGAAAAGAAGGAAGACATTCCCCTCCCCACCCGCCGCCGACAGCGGGGCCGGGGCCGCGGCGACGCCGGGAGGGCGCTGGGAGAGGTCACCCCGCCGGCGCGCGCCGCGATCTTATCACTGCCCAGGAATAGCCGGCGCTTCCTCCCGGAGCGCCGCGGGGCCGGCGGCCGCGCAGAGCCATCTGGGCGGTTATTTTAGTTTCTTTCCCGGTGCCAGGGGCACTGGGAATGGGTCTGGAGCGTCAACGTGTTGCTGCAGCCCGGCCAGGCGTCGCGGGGCCTTGGCCTTCTTCACCTGCTCCTCCTCCTCCTCACACTTTCCCAGGCCCGTGTGTCACCATCAGCCCCATGCACCCRGAGCACCGATGCCAGGAGGCAGCGGCGGGTGCGGATGCACCAGGGACATCCCAAGGAGCCACCGGGATCCATGGCTCCGAGCGCATTCCCTAATCCCAGGGTTTGGGCTCGGCAGCTCCCCGGCACCCGCCTCGCTGCTCCCAGCACCTGGAGCAAAATCCTCCAGAGAGGAGGGAGCAGCCAGGRCTCCGGCTCCACAGGGAAACGTGGAGACACCCCAAACCCTGCTGTGTTTCCCCTGCACTGCAAAATATTCCCTTCCCTCCAGGAAGGTGAAGGGAAACTAGTCTAAACACTCCATCGATCCTGGCTAGCAACTGAAGTGAAACAAGGGTTTATATATATATATGTATATATGTGTGTGTGTGTGTGTGTGTGTGTGTATGTTATTTTTTCTTATTTTCCTAAGGCCTTTGTTTTGTTCGGGGTTAACTGCAGCCCGGTGCTTTCAAATCACTTCCAGACACGCGGAGCCGGGCGCGGGAGCCCAGCGCGGGCCGGCGCTTGCACAACCCCGCGCCCTCGGCTCAGGTTTCAGCCGGGGCTTGGGGACAGGGACAGACGCGGTGGCAGCGGCAGCCTCGGGGAGCAGCGGCCGAGCTCCTCTCCGTGCTCACAAGCTGGTGCAAGCAGCAGGACTGGGGTGTTCGGCAGGACCTCGGCACCGTCTCGTCGGGTCCTTGTCACCCGTCTGGACCCGGGTCCAGAGCAGCGACCCAGTACAGCAGGGCCAGGGCACTCGCTCGTGGCTGCTGCAAGGGCAGCGCCTGGCACAGCCCTGCAGTTGCAGTGGTGCTGCCGCTGTCCCCATGATCCCTGGGGAGCCCCTGGGCTGGAAGTTGGGAAGCACGATTCATTTCATGGGAGTGGCTTTAGGAAAGGAGCAGCTTCTTCCCCCTTTCCTCCCCAAAGATTCCAGCAGAAAATTGCCCGAGGCAGAGGGATCCCCTGGGCCCTCATCCCAGGGCTGCTTCCGACTCCAGGCTGGCCAAGACACGCACAAAATAAATCACAAGGAAAATAAATGTCCCCCCTGCCCCGARCATCCCTGCCCTGTTGCAGCGCGGCCGCTGGGCAGGCGAATCCCAACCCTTCCCCATCTCGGCTCCGCGGAGCCTTCGGGCGGCCAGAAAGGGGCTTGCACGGAAAAGAGAAAAAAAGAAAAAAGGAAGAAGGAAAGGAAGAAGGAAAGGAAGAAGGAAAGGAAGAAGGAAAGGAAGAAAGGAAGAAAGGAAGAAAGGAAGAAAGGAAGAAAGGAAGAAAGGAAGAAAGAAAGAAAGAAAGAAAGAAAG